TGGATTTTTACCTATGACCCAGAATGTAAGCGCCAGTCAATGGAGTAGAAGTCTCCAGGATTCCCAAAACCCAAAAAGGCACGCATGTCAAAATCAAAATTCCACATTAATGGAATTGTAATGATTGAGTGGTTTCCCAGTGGTCAGACTGTTAACCAACACTATTACATTAAAGTCCTAAAAAGATTTAGTGAAAAAATTCGGAAAGAAAGACCACAGTTATGAAGCGATGGATGGTCGTTGCACCAGGACAATGCATCCGCTCATACGGTACTGTCTGCCAAGTAGTTTCTGACCAGTAAAAATATTACTGTGATGGGGCATCCACCTTATTCACCTGATTTGGCTCTATGCGACTTTTTTCTATTTCCTAAAGTTAAATTTTGCTTAATGGGAACCCATTTCACCTCAGTTAAAGAGGTTCAGGCAGAAACGGAGAATCTCCTAAAGGGACTTCCAAAAACCTCGTTCCAAAATTGTTACCAGCAATGGCAGCACCAAATGCAAAAGTGTGTGAATTCTGAAGGGGACTACTTTGAAGGTGATAATGTCACGGAGAACTGATTCTGCAGGTACAATGATTTATTGGACTTATCTCGTTACTTTTGTGTCACACCTCGTAATTCGCTAGTGCTAGACTAGTAATAAAAATAGGCGCTGGGGCCGTGATAAATTTCGCTAGTGCTGGACTAGGAATAAAAATAGGCGCTGGGACCGTGATAAATTTCGCTAGTGCTGGACTAGGAATAAAAATAGGCGCTGGGACCGTGATAAATTTCGCTAGTGCTGGACTAGGAATAAAAATAGGCGCTGGGACCGTGATAAATTTCGCTAGTGCTGGACTAGGAATAAAAATAGGCGCTGGGACCGTGATAAATTTCGCTAGTGCTGGACTAGGAATAAAAATAGGCGCTGGGACCGTGATAAATTTCGCTAGTGCTGGACTAGGAATAAAAATAGGCGCTGGGACCGTGATAAATTTCGCTAGTGCTGGACTAGGAATAAAAATAGGCGCTGGGACCGTGATAAATTTCGCTAGTGCTGGACTAGGAAATGTAAATAGGCGCTGGGGCCGTGATAAGAAGCTGCCGCGCGGGGCTTGCTTAGAAAAAAGGGATTGTTCGAGAGAGACCGCGATACGTTCGGACGTCGCGTCGGGAATTCCGCGCGTTTCCCGTGACTCGACACGCGTTAGTTTTATTAAACGATATTAGAATTTACACAACGCGAGAAAAAAAATGCAGCTGATCTACTGATCGTAGCTCGCACCAAACACTAGAGTATATTCGGATTAAACACAATGAATCGATGACAAACGATTATACGTGAGAAAATTGCGTATGCTTCGATTGCCTATTAAAGATTAATTTTTCTGGCGCGTGCCGTACCGGCTCTACTTACCGCGCGACCACCCCGCACCTCCGCGGAGTAGCCCTAACGGTCACGAAGGTCCCCGAACCAAACCGATCCCGGACGAACCTGTCGATTCGCGAATCGTAACGGACAAGCTCGAACCTGTCGTTTCTTGAATGATCCGATAAAAACTGGATTCTAGCTATAGGCGCACGTGTTCTCGGCCAACAACCCGTGCTTGTTTATGCGACGCAATTTCGGGCTACTTGATTCCCCCTTTTTCTTGGAATTCGACTCGACAACCTTTGTCCTCCCTTCCATTGCGCCCTTAGCGTGGTACTTTTCTGGAAGGGGAACAGAAGTTCCTACGGGGGAGGACGGCATTCCGGGGAGAATCTGGGTTTTTCCCAGATCCCGTGACGTCAGTCTCGGTCCGCGGGATCCGTTACTTCTAGGGGCCAGATCGCCCTCTGATCTTCTAAGCTGGGAGATTTATGACATGACCTGTGTCACTGAAGCCAAAAACTCTAAAGACTAGTGCAGCAATAAACAGATCTGCTAAAAACTACAAATTGTCACGTACCATCGTAGTGCTGGCACGCAGATGGTACGGATACTAAATTATGGGGTTCAAAAGTGACCATTCTCTCGTCATGTCGTAAACCTCATCTGTATGAAACTCTATCACAAATAATGAATAAAACAACTGTTATAGGTTTTGTAAATGCGCGCGAATGGCAAGAGCGAATGGACTGACAAATGAGTGATGAGTGCGAGAAAAAGAGTAAGAGAGAGCGAGAAAGGAAGAGTAAGAGAGAGAGAGAAAATAAAAGTACAGGTCACTAGCCGAATAAGACCGTGAGTGAAAAGAGTAGCGCGAGCGATATAGTTTCAGTAGATTTGTTAAAATATAACATATTTTCCGTCAAACTTCAGATTTCTTTCTTTTTTTTTTCGTTTCTTTTCTTCTCCCCTTTTCTCTAACATAATTAAAAATAAGATCCGATTATGCATTATTTACAGATAAAGGATAAACTAATTATTTGTTATTAACTTAAACCAAGTAAATCGAATTTCTTCGATATTTGTATTCGTTATTTAAAAGGAATAAGGAATAAAATATCGAAAATTGTTCTTGTTTCTCATTATAAAAATACAAAATAACAAATTCGCACATATTGACGGAAACATAACTTTTCTGTACATCAGAAAAGATTTCAAATTTCATAACTAACAAATGAAATAAAAATAATCCTGCTTCGGTGAAAATGTGTTGTGACTGGGCCATTTCACCGGACCTGACCTTCCGTAAAAAAAAATGCAGGCTGCATATGTTCACACCAAGGTTAGTGAACTTTACTTCGCTGACACTTTACATTACCATTTTGCACTGCAATATTTTGTTGTTACTATTAAATAACTTATATAGACGAAAATTTCTAGTGAGGACGGATCATGCTTCATTAAGATGGTTACTTTCATTTAAAAGATCCGAAGGGCAGATCGCAAGATGGATTGAGAGACTCCAACAGTACGACTTTGAAATCAAGCATCGTATTGGAAAGAATCATGGAAACGTGGACAGTCTCTCAAGAAGACCTTGTGAAACTTCGCAATGTAAGCGTTGTATCCGTCTTGAGGAAAAGGACCGTGAAGAAGAAGGACGAGATAGAAGAATGGGTAAACGCACAGGAAGAGGATGAAGATCTTCGAGCAATTAGAAAATATTTGAAAGATGGAAATAAAACCACTTGGCAGGAAGTTTCGGCTCTTTCCTCTGGAGCGAAATATTTCTGGTCCATTTGGGATTCGTTGGATATAGAGCAGGATTTACTGGTCCGAAGATGGGAGTCTGCGGACGGAAATCAAATCACAAAATTACTAATTGTGCCTAGAAGGAAGATTACGGAGGTGTTGCAAGAATGCCATGACGCACCTACTGGAGGACATTTTGGAGTCAGGAAGACGCTTGCTAAGGTTCGTCAGAGGTACTTTTGGGTGGATCACCGAAGAGACGTAGAAGATTGGTGTCGAAGATGTCATCGATGTTCCGCGAAGAAGGGCCCTGTTGAGAAGGGAAGAGGGACCCTGAAGATTTATAACGTTGGAGTGCCCTTTGAGAGGATAGCACTCGATGTGGTGGGTCCCCTGCCGAAGTCTTCGTCCGGGAATAGATTTGCGCTGGTTGTGGTAGATTATTTCTCGAAATGGCCAGAAATATTCCCTTTGCCAAACCAGCAAGCTACAACGATTGCAGAAACGCTACTACGTGAGGTGATCGGTCGACATGGTGTACCGCTTGAGTTGCACTCTGATCAGGGTCGGAGTTTTGAGTCCAGCATTTTCAAGGACTTAATGAAAATGCTGGGAATCAAAAAGACCAGGACGACTCCTTTACACCCTCAGTCGGATGGACTCGTAGAGCGGATGATCCGAATCTTGTTGCAGTACTTATCTCAGTGTGTTGCTGAGAACCAGAAGGACTGGGATAAATGGATTTCGATGTTCCTCTTGGCCTACCGTTCCTCACGTCATGAGACCACTCAGAATTCTCCGTCCATGATTCTTATGGGAACAGAACTGCGTTTACCCATGGATCTTCTAAGAGGACTAGCACCTAATACACCGAAAGAGGAAAATGAGTTCATCGAGGAAACCCGAGGAAGAATCGTAAAAGTACATCGCTTCGTTCGAGAACGCATGCAGATCTGTGCAGAGAAGACGAAGACTTGGTACGATTCTGCTTCGAAACCGATTTCTTTTATGCCTGGAGAGAAAGTTTGGTTTTTCAATCCTCGAAGAACAAAAGGAAAATGCCCAAAATTGCAGTCTGATTGGGAAGGGCCCTATGTGGTTAAGGACCGGTTGAATGAATTGATTTACCGGATAATTCGTCTGCCGAAATCCAAGCCTAGGGTCGTCCACGTTAACCGGCTTGCTCGCTACCAAGCTTCACCCCCTGTTTGAGAAATAAATGGAAATATGATGTCCGATGTCTTCGCCTAAGAAGAGGATGCCTCGTCGCAGAAGGCTAGGGTGGGGATTTCTTACTGGCTGCGGGCTCTCCTTTTTCGAAAGTCTTTGCGAATGAGGAAGTGCGATTCTCGTAGGAGGGTCACCCCTCAGTCAGGATTCTATTCCGATAGAGTTTTGACCGTCGGACTTCGAAATTGTAAAGAGTAGTTCCGTGAGACCGGGAGAATCCACATTCGAGAAGACCTCAAGAAAGAAGTGCGCAAGTCGCAAGAATCAAGGGGAAGGGCGAGGAACAGTCGGGACATCATTTACCTGAGAGAAGGTTAAAGTTTGGAAACGTCTTCAAGAAAATCGAAGCAAATGAACACCGGCGTCTTGCTCAAGGTTTTTGGGTGGTTTTTCCTTGAGACGTTGGGCGAATGTCAAGACGTTAGCTGTCTGATAAGGGCCACTCAAGTAAATATTTCGATTTAGTTGTTTACTTCCTTTGCAGACAGAGGTGTGCAGGTTCCGGCTAATTTCACGAGAGTCCGGAGGTTAGAAAGATCGAGCTGAAGATGACTTTCTTGCAATGAACTTGCCGTAGTCGGGACGACTGCTTTTGAAGAGACGGGGGCAATGTTGCGACGTGAAACAGCTCACGGATGATGCCGTGAAGTCAGTCCTTGCAACGTGAAACTGGTTCGCGATTGAAGCAATGAAGCTAGTCCTGGCTACGAAATGAAGAGGTCCGCGGAAGTTGTCAGGCAGGACGAGCGGATCGAGTGGCCAGGACTTCCGGTAGCTGGGAGCAACCGCGATGTTTAAATATTAGAACCGCGCCAGATTTCGAAGAGTACAGACTTGATTACAGATCTTAACACTTTGTTAATAAATCGTTTGAGTTCTTGAAATTCTGAGTTTGTGTGTTTTAATCTGTGATGGCTACTCGCGAGGAAACGCCCCGGCGCAACAATATATATGTGTATTATTTATTAAAAAATTTTTTTTTTTCCTACTTGTATACTTTATCACGCGTTTATCTTTTATTTCAGAGATGAAAGATTTTGACCTCCGCAGAGAGAAGTTCTCTTACCACGCAGCAGATCGGTGATACGTATCTATAGCTACGTTCAGCGACCTATACCTGTCTATCCCACCGCTGTCACCAAAAATTTAACTAATCGTGTAACGTCCCTGGAACCTAAGTTCAGATAGTTACAAGCGCTAAAAGGTAAAGAGCGGCTTTTACCCCTAAACGACTCGATTTTATAAATGAAGATTGTGGGATTCGTGTGGTGTGCGGTTAAGGAGTGAAATCCACAGGTCAATATCTTTCAACAATAAGACAACGATTGCAGAAACACTACTTCGTGAGGTGTTAATTAATGAATTAATGAATTAATGAAAATGCTGGGAATCAAGAAGACCAGGACGACTCCTTTGCACCCTCAGTCGGATAGACTCGTAGAGCGGATGATCCGAATCTTGTTGCAGTACTTATCCCAGTTTGTTGCTGAGAACCAGAAGGACTGGGATAAATGGATTTCGATGTTCCTCTTGGCCTACCGTTCCTCACGTCATGAGACCACTCAGAATTCTCCGTCCATGATTCTTATGGGAACAGAACTGCGTTTACCCATGGATCTTCTAAGAGGACTAGCACCTAATACACCGAAAGTGGAAAATGAGTTCATCGAGGAAACCCGAGGAAGAATCGTAAAAGTACATCGCTTCGTTCGAGAACGCATGCAGATCTGTGCAGAGAAGACGAAGACTTGGTACGATTCTGCTTCGAAACCGATTTCTTTTATGCCTGGAGAGAAAGTTTGGTTTTTCAATCCTCGAAGAACAAAAGGAAAATGTCCGAAAGTGCAATCTGATTGGAAAGGACCCTATGTGGTTAAGGATCGGTTGAACGAATTGATTTATCAAATAGTTCGTCTTCCGAAATCCAAGCCTAGGGTCGTACATGTTGTGAGGAAGGAGAGTTACTACACACGCTGTTCTGTACGAGATCTTTATTCTGACTGATGTCCGATGTCTTCGCCTAAGAAGAGGATGCCTCGTCGCAGAAGGCTAGGGTGGGGATTTCTTACTGGCTGCGGGCTCTCCTTTTTCGAAAGTCTTTGCGAATGAGGAAGTGCGATTCTCGTAGGAGGGTCGCCCCTCAGTCAGGACTCTATTCCGATAGAGTTTTGACCATCGGACTTCGAAATTGTAAAGAGTAGTTCCGTGAGACCGGGAGAATCCACATCCGAGAAGACCTCAAGAAAGAAGTGCGCAAGTCGCAAGAATCAAGGGGAAGGGCGAGGAACAGTCGGGACATCATTTACCTGAGAGAAGGTTAAAGTTTGGAAACGTCTTCAAGAAAATCGAAGCAAATGAACACCGGCGTCTTGCTCAAGGTTTTTGAGTGGTTTTTCTTTGAGACGTTGGGCAAATGTCAAGACGTTAGCTGTCTGATAAGGGCCACTCAAGTAAATATTTCGATTTGGTTGTTGTTGGGTAATGGGCTGGATTTTTATTCAATGTGGGGTTTTTGAATCGAGTGGTTTTTCTTTGAGACGTTGGGCAAATGTCAAGACGTTAGCTGTCTGATAAGGGCCACTCAAGTAAATATTTCGATTTGGTTGTTGTTGGGTAATGGGCTGGATTTTTATTCAATGTGGGGTTTTTGAATCGGGAATGGAGAACGGGAATTAACTGTTAACACTTTTTTACACGGAAAACAGTCACAGTCACTTTATTTATGGTTTCACAATTCAAATTTTAAACTAATAGTACAAAAGGTCACACATCGACCGGTAAACGAAACTACGACGGAAACGCACGGAAATCTTGCCCTTGATCGGGTTGCTGCTCGCGAACGCGACGGAAATCTTGGGCGGAACTCTGCGTTAGCTCCGAACGCGACGGAAATCTTGACGCGACGATATTACCGAATTTTCGCAGCGATCAAGGTCCGACCGCGGAAGCACGAGATACCGGTCGAAATAAAGGCTGAGAGTCTCGCCACGTGTTATGGTGACGGCAACGGTGATTTAAACGAATTAACGGCACAACACGGAAAATATCGCGGGCACGACGTTCCGTTAATTTTATCGATATTCGACGTCTCTAAATAATGGTAATAGCTCGGCGGATTATCACAATTTCGCGGAATTCGAATTAGAAAGTAACTCGGGTGCGTGTGACTTCTCCAAGAGCCGGAACAACAAGAACGACGGGGTGATCTATCGGCATCGATCAGCGAAAACGGGAATGCGCGAAAGATCCTAATCGATATAGAGCGCAGGTACGCAGGAGAACAAGGACCGCGAATAGTAACTACAATTACGCATGAAAAGGATCGGTAATGCGCGTTGCCTCGTTCGCGATGAGATTTGTGATTCGCGAATTCTTCTCGA